ATTGCAATGATGCACACGGCGGTCGTGTAGTTCCACTTCCCAAGAGTCAGCCTTCCCTTCCCTTCCCTTCCCTTCCCTTCCCTTCCCTTCCCTTCCCTACCTTCCTTCCCTTCCCTTCCCTTCCTTCCCTTCCCTTCCCTTCCTTCCCTTCCCTTCACTTCCTTCCCTTCCTTCCCTTCCCTTCCCTTCCTTCCATCCCTCCCTTCCCTTCCCTTCCCTTCCCTTCCCTCCCTTCCCTTCCTTCCCTTCCCTCCCTTCCCTTCCCTTCCTTCCCTTCCCTTCCCTTCCCTTCCTTCCCTCCCTTCCCTTCCCTTCCCTTCCATCCCTTCCCTTCCCTTCCCTTCCCTCCCCTTCCCTCCCTTCACTTCCCTTCCCTTCCCTTCCCTTCCTTCCCTTCCCTTCCCTCCCTTCCCTTCCCGTCCTTCCCTTCCCTTCCCTTCCCTCCCTTCCCTTCCCTTCCCTTCCCTTCCCTTCCCTTCCCTTCCCTTCCCTTCCCTCCCTTCCCTTCCCGTCCTTCCTTCCTTCCTTCCCTTCCCTTCCTTCCCTTCCCTTCCCTTCCCTTCCCTTCCCTCGAACAATAGTCCATCCGTTCCAGTCTGACGTATTTAACATGCACTGAAGCATACGCAGTCACTGTGACCGACATAAGGCTTCTGTTACACGCCCGCAGGGCATGGCGTCAGAGGCGAAGGTTTTAATATTGAAAATCTTCGCCAACTGTTTCCGTATCATACTAACCATCTAAATTATCCAAAATCAATCAGACTATGGATTTCGATGACGAAGAATACGATAAAATTAGCAGATGTTTGTTTATATTTATAAAGAGGTAGTCAGTGTCCTCGGAATAAGGCACACATAACGTAATCACCTATTTTTGTTTGGGGGCGGTCGGATAGCCTAGTGGTTAAAGCGTCCGCTCGTCACGCCGAAGACCCGGGTTCGATTCCCGACATGGGTACAATATGTGAAACCCATTTCTGGTGTCCCCCGCCGTGATATTGCTGGAATATTGCTAAAAGCGGCCTAAAACCATACTCACTCACCCATTGATGCGCACACTGCTGAACAAAAGAACCTGCAGGAAGCGTCACTCCATACAGTGAGTGAGTGAGTGAGTTGGGTTTAACGCCGATTTTAACAGTATCCCAGCTATATCGCGGTGTGTCAGCTTAATATGGGAGGAAAGCCCGAAGTGATAATCGGTGCGAACCGGGATTCGAATCGAATCCGAATTGGGAATCTGCACAGCGAATCGCGTCGCCTTAGACGACTGAGCCACCCAGTAACCCCGTCACTCCATTCAGGGTATGATGCTCAAAGCTATATGCGTTGTAAATTGTATGAACTTCTGATGTTTGAGAAAGTGAGTGAGCATGGACATATTTGTGCAGATGGAATAGGTCCTTATCATTCTGTCTAAGTGATCATTAACACTGTGTATGTGCACACGTGATCTACGAGGATCTCCAAATGAGTGCGACATCGTCCCCTTTGGAAGCCATCGATAAACCCGTGTTAAAGATCAGAAGCATGTACCTGGTAGAATATGAAGCTTTAGTATGCACGGGAAAATTCTGTTTAAAAACCTCGTTAAGATTTGGGTTACAATTGGTTTTCATCAGCCCATACTTGTTATCACTCCAGTTTGATAACGGTGTTAGAATTTACATCGAAACGTCCCCAAATGCAATAAAAAAGAAGTTGGTATAAAAAAAGTTGCATGTTTTTTTATTGTTGTAAGAGGCAACTAGCTGATGCATGTGATAAAACATAAAGTGGAAGGATTGGCAAACAAGCAAATTGGGGTTATCTGAACGCCTCTCCCGAACATGATACAGATGCAAATTACAATGTGTTGAACGTGACGTGAGAAATATCATACATAATACAATTGACATTAAAGATAATTATTTTTCTGTAAGTGTTTTATCACTCGATTATCTTTCGTAACTACAGCTACGTTATTATTTACATCCAGCACAACAACATCGCAGTATCATACAGCAAAGCCAACATTAAAACAAGACTTAGTCAAAACGCATGTCATCGTATTCCAGTTGCATAGATCGATGCTCACGATGTCAATCACTGGATTGTCTGGTCCAGGATAGATTATTTACAGACCATCAATATATAGCTGGACTATTTCCTTGTGCGACGTTATTCACCCTACAAACAAAGCAATTTTTTTCAAACGAGCTGTTACGCCGACAAATTTACCAGATTTATATCCGACAGCCGGAGATAACGTTGTGGCTATCACACGGAAGATGCACTCCATTTCGTTCTTACGTGTCCCTTAAACAGTACAGTAAGGCAAAATATGTAATGGTAATTCACATTTAACGACTTTTACAAATCTTGAAATCAGTGCACAGTTTTATTATATAATGAAGATTATCTTCGTAATAATGACCACGTCTACAGTTATGATCATAAACAATAAAACTATCAAACGGGTTCATCCAGCAAAATTTGCTTAATTTTTCACATGATATAAATAATGAAGATTATCTTTGTAATAATGACCACAGTTAGGATCATAAACAATAAAACTTTCAAACTTGGGTTCATTCAGGTCACTGCAACAGCTTGTTATTCTCCAGTGTATGGTTTGTTGTTTCTTGTTCCGTAACAGTGAAATAAAGTATTACATTTCTTACAATATACTTTTAGTTATTCTTTTTTTAAATTAATGTATGAATGGAATTTGTTTATAATGTATATAATATGGTACATGGTACATGTATGTGATATGTATATGTGATACTTTAATAAAAAAAAGTTTATAATAAAAAAATGAAGTCTCTTATAACGCACAAGTGTTTTAACACACCACATCATCAACTGACCATATATTGAGAGATCAAATATCAAATTATATAGTTATTAAACAAAAACATAATCAAATTAGCTTTGTTGATAAATGATATTTGATGAAATAACGAACGTGAAACTACACACTTCTGTCAAAACAAAAGCAGGCTTCATGGTTTAGGACGACAATTGTCTTATGTTTGTTTACAAAACAATTACGCCGTGGATATTACGGACGTGTCGGCGCTTCAGAAGTAGGGGTCAGTTTTGATAGGCTTCGATGTGGCCTTCTTGACCAGGTAGGTCAGGCTACCGGTCCCACGCGCTACCTTGATTGGGCACTTTAGGTAAACAATGACTGCTTTTTTGGTAAATAAACATGGCATGCATGTCTGATTCCTATGTAAACACTACCCAACTCCGTCCACCCATATGGCTGTTCAGAAAATACCAGTTGTTCATATTAGAAAACAAAGCTTCCGTGATTGATGTATAAACACTCCCGAGATCTTCAAACAGCGTCTTGCATAACGTAAAACTTCAGAAGAAACCGAAACGTTTTATCGAGGTATATAAAGATGATGTGAAAATGCAGTAAATCATTCGCCCTTAATCTTCGACCTAAAACAGTTTACACTTGGAGTGACGACTTGTCTATTGCCCCATCAAATCGATACATTGACTGGTGACTTCGTTTGGATTATATTAACACAAGGTATGTACACTCGTGACTTAAACGGTTTGTTATAGCTCAATATTTAGTTCACACAAATTCATGTTATAACCATTTTTGGCAACACAGTGTTTCCATAAATGACACGAATTCAAAGAATACACGGTAAATGTGCAGCAGGGTTGTATGTCACAACTTATATTAATAAACGGTCGGTCAAAAGAAAGTTTTTACACCCGTGTTTGGTGTTTCGGCGATCGTTTTCAGCCGTGTAACGTTGTGATAACATTTGAAATTGATTGGTCAAATCCTTTTTTTAAGTGTCCGATTTAGTGAAAATTATTTAGACTCAACCTATATTAAGCATGTTATTTAATGCAAATTTTTATGCAAATTATTTAGATAACCTGGTCATTATTCAGTTCAGATTTTTTCCAGTTTCAGAAACCCCGCATCATGAAGGTGAAGACCCCGGAGCCTAAGCCAAGCAAGTCCGACAACAAGCGTGTCCAGCCCCGTAACAGGATCAAGTACACTGCTGGCCAGGTGAGCTACATCCTAAACATCTCTTTGTTGTGATTTCATAATTGCTTCGAATTGGTTCCAAAAGAATACAAATAAGTATTTCCGTCCCCGTAGTGAAGATCCGGATTAGAATTGGTCTTCAGCAACCCATGCTTGACGTAAGTGGCGCTGACTTGATTGATGCATGTCATCGTATCCCATGTAGATCGATGTTCATGATGTCAATCACTGGATTGTCTGGCCCAGATCGCCGTCATATAGCTGGAATATCGTTGAATGTGGCGTTAAACAAGACAAACAAACCGTCGTATCTTCGCGGATTCTCAGATGAAAGGGATTGTAGTGCGCTTCCGGTGAATATATTTCGCACACAAATGCACGTTATTCCATCAGCTGTACAGACTGCTTATGATTATTGTTTCTGTTGTACAGCTTCGCCAGCTAGAGTGTGTGTTCATGTCCAGCCAGTACCCAGACAGCTGCACCCTGGAGGAGCTCTCAAACACCCTCAGCATCAACACGGAGCGGCTGTCGGTGAGTAAACGCGCCGAGGAACAGATAGCATAGATAGTGACCCAACCAGGGTATTCTTCGTTATAATTGCAAGACCACGGTTGTGAAATATGGGTTTCTATAGCCCTGTTAGACTGACATCTAGTCTCTGAAATGAACATATCGCACAGAAAAAAACAGTTGTTCAATTATTTTAATAAAAATATAATAAAAAGGAGCCCAGAGACTCTCTTCATTTTCCGATACTGCAGAATCTAGACTTGCCAAACATTATAGACTTGCATGGGCTGTATTTGATATATTTGGATCAGGGTTTGTAAGACAGACTATAGCCCTGTATTTCGCCGTGTACTAGTGCGTCAATTTGCCTTGTAAGCATCCGATTAGTGTGGGTTGGAAGATTTGCCCCGTTTGGTCCATATCCGCTTTCGTGAGCATACGTCCCACAAGCAGCCTTTACGTCGTGATCATGGTTGAAAACGACGTAAAAAGGAAGAGACATGATATATGTTAAGATGATTGCATAGAAAATATACAAAATGTTATTGCTTATTCACGAGTTGATAGTTTAGCTTGTATTCAAGTTTTTTTCTATTTTTGTTTCACAGATCTGGTTCCAAAACCGACGCTCTAAGTTCAAGCGTCAGGCGAAGGGAAGTCACGTGAACTGGATGCGACAACAGTTGTACCGCCAGGGGTCGCAGTCATCACGTGATATAAACAACCAATCGGACAAGTGTCACGTGTTGTCTCCACCTGTCAACAACAACGCCATACCAGAGGCGCCCAAATCAAAGTAAGAAATAGTTCACTGGTCACGTGATATAGACAGAATGCTACGGCAAGTGTCTGATGGCATTTTTTGCGGTACAATTATGAATATCCAAATGCCTTCACTATGAATACACAGAGCCGCGAATAATGTCGCAGCCATGATGTGCAATTTTTTTTCTTCTTCAAATGACCTCTCCGTTGGCTATTACCATGGAAGCATATGCAAATACCAAAACATTGCTAACAGCGACTAAAAAATACACCCACCCACTATAAAGGTGCATGGTCGTAATTCCACTAGCCGTAAAAGCTGAGATACCACAAAATGTAGTGAAACCACAGTTTCTAGAACTTACAATAATGAAGTATTTATTTATTTATTTATTTATTTCTTTATTTCTTTATTTCTTTATTTCTTTATTTAATGGACGCTACCGCGCTAATTCCGGAACCTACCAACACCTTTTTGTCTGAGCTACGATATTCATATCTTTACTTTGTTTCAGTCTAAGCTATTACGGGATGAACTACCCTGCGGCTGTGCCTGGCTGTGACCCCAGCTACTTCACGACGTCACCTGTGTTCCATCAGATGACTACCCCCTACCCATCGTCCAGTGAGAGGATCGCTGCTCCAGATTATACCCACAGTCCTTTGCTACTTCCGCATATGAACGAGATCTCGTATCCCCAGATGGTATCTTTCCCCCAGCAGAACCCTTCATATCCCCAGCAGAGCCCAACGTACACAAGTCCCTCAACCTCCCCAAGTGAACACGACCACAGTTACCTCCCCTCCTACACTTTCCCTGGGACCCAGCTCGCCTTTACCCCCATTGCATAAAGAGTCACGTGTGCATGTGACCCGGAACTACAACTGTGACCTTTCTAGGTGAAATCACCCGCCATGGTGTCCGGATTAACGAATATGTAATCGGATTATTGTAGACGTTCCTAACAACATCCGTCTGGAATCATCAGTGTCCGGTCTAACGAGTTGTCGATGTTCAGAGCTTCAGTCTTCTATATGGACTGGAACATCCATCATCATTTTATGAAGAAGAGGTTTGAAACCTAGCGCTCTAGTGCTTATTTTGTACATACTATTGGCCAACAGTCAATGCCTTAATGTATATATTTATGTGACAATATATTTCATGTGAAATTCAATGTTTGTTTGTTGTTTAACTCATGAAAGTACAGTCCGGACCAGTGCCGGTTTTATAGTGCTAGCTCACTAAGATACCATGCCACGGTTTAATATGGATACCCCTCTCAGACACAGTATACTCACTCCGAGCCGAACAGTCCTTAATTATATTATCCCAGGCAGCGTAACAACAAGTACCATCGTTTAACGTCTTTTGATATGACACAGCTAAGGATCGAACCACCGACCTTCCACTCTACGAGCGGACGCTCCATCAACTAGACCACTGATTTTCAAATGTCATTTTGGAAATATCAAATATCTTTTTTATTTTTCAAATATCATTTTGGTAAAATAAATCAACCCGAAGAAATAATAAACTTAATGTACATTTTTAAGACCAGAAAAACCTAACATGGCCACACATGGCCACTTCTCACAGACAAATACAAATACTCGGCGCCCTAATTCGCTATGCAGAGTTACGTCCCTTAGACTTGGCAGGAACCTATGGCCGTTGTCCCTAATTTCTTGATTTGTCAGCACCATACCCATTTGCATGATTTCACTAAAGAAGTAAACATCCAAGAAATTAAAAATTCGAACTTTGTTTTGTCCCATATCAAACTAACACGCCATGAATGAAAACATGAAGCGGCGTAAAAGCACAACACGCGTTCCGTTAAAACGTATGTTATGCTTCCTTAATGTGACGACTTGGTTGTTTGACGGAGATATATTTTAGATATGTAAAATTATTGATAGAACAGTCTCGGACAGTGGGTGGAGTGCCCGTCCCACAACTCCCGGTGTATAATGAATCCACGTTTGGGCGTGGTCGGGAAATTTCGAATACAGGATCTTTTTTATCAAATAAACATCTTATTCTAGATTTAGATGTTGCAATTTTAAGCTTGCTTTTGAGACTGGCAGATATGAATATTTTTAATAATGAAAGATACTGAATGTCATGCATGCTGAAAGGCTATTTTGCTGTTGAGGACGAATTGTACATTTTCTATGTATGTGACTCTTACTCTGAATTGCGAAACAAGTTTATTGTGAAATAGTTTCGTAAATATCCTACAATTAACAATTTTATTTCTATCATGCAGAGTAAGAACATAGAAGATATTAGAATTGTCAGTCTATTCCTATACAGTAAACTACGTTTATAACGAACACGCTTATAACGAACTTACCGATATAACGAGCTTATTCTTTAGTCCCGACCATTTGTTGTATATATGCTGTATATGCTAGCGGCCCCTTTGAGTTCGTTATGACCGTAGTTTACTTTATCATGTAAATATAAAAAGAAATATCCAATTGAAAATGGGGGCACGGGTGGCCCAGTCGTCTAAGGCGCCGCGATTCGCTGGGCAGTGTTGCGTCCCTTGGGCACGCCAGAAACCCATGATTGTGGGTTCGGTTCGCCCCGATTATGTTTCTAGGTTTGTCAGCACCATACCCGTGCTCGTGGGTTTCACCGAAGTGGTAAACGTCTGAGACCTGCATCACTTCGGGCTTTCCTCCCACATCAAGCTGACACGCCGTGATATGACTGGAACACTGTTAAAAGCGGCGTTAAACCAAACTCAAACACTCAGTCCAATTGTAAATATCATATAAAATGCGCATGTATAATGATGCTTTTGTATGTACATTGGGCCGGAAGCCATGTATTGAATTAAACTGACTGTCTGTTTTTTATTACATGAAACAAAGTGCAATTTGCTGAATAAAGGAAATTGACAACATCTAAGAAAACGACGTATTATATAAAACAAGACAAAAAGAAATATACTTTGCATACCATATTGTCACATTTAAATACGACCCGTGAAGATCCGGGTTAGAATAGATCTTCAGCTGCCCATACTTGCCGTAAAAGATGGCTATATATGCTTGTAGTAAGTGGCGACTAACGTGATCGGGTGGTCAGGCTTGCTGACTTGGTTCATGCATGTCATCGTATCCCATATGCGTCGATTGATGCTCATGATGTCAATCACTGAATTGTCTTGTCCACACTCGATTATTTAAAGACCGCCGTCATATAGCTGAATATTGCTGAGTGCGGCGTGAAACAACTAAACAAAACACACAAAAAAACATGAAAATACATGTACTTCAACATTCTCACACAACATTATGAACTGACACCCTTCGTCAACTCTCTCACATTCCTGCACGCAATGATATCTCATGTTCATGTGTATTGCAATACTCGCCAATAGTTGTGTCATAAATCAAGAAAGGCATAACAAATAAACATCAACGCAGTTGACATGAATCATTCCAACGTTACTAAGATTTTATGAGATTTCCTAAACACATAAAGAAGTACTGTCTCAATTGAGGCATGATAAAGAGAGGCTATGTGATCCAGAGGAAAGAGACATATTTAACTCCACACTCTCAGAACACATTAAAAATGAACTAGAAACGTTAGCAGAAGTGATAAAGATTTTTTTAATAGCCTATTTCCGTGTGTGAAGTTAGGTTATCGCTGTACAGAACTGGGACAACAAGCACAACTGATGAAATCCCAGCAGATCACTGAAGAATGAAACTTGTATACGATTACTCAGGTTGTACACTCCCCATGGAGCTGAAAATAAAAACCGAGAGCACAGTGATCCATTGACAGGGACAATAATGTTGGCGCTTTGCGTCTAGCGTAGGATATGTTTTCACATTATTTTACTGCATGATTGATTAATCATTGTCTTCAACATGACACTACTCCAAGGCATTATCAGCCCAATAAACAAACGAGGAAGCACAGGTATCAGGAAACCTTTATTATCTCCAGCAACCCATGCTTGTCGTAAGAGGCGACTAACGGGATCGGGTGGTCAGGCTCGCTGACTTGGTTGATGCATGTAATCGTATACCAATTGCGTGGACCGATGCTCATGATGTCAATGGTCCAGACTCGATTATTTACAGACCGCCGTCATATAGCTGGAATATTGCAGAGTGCGGCACTTAAAAAACAAACAAACAAACCTTATTAGCTGTGCCAAGCAAGGTCTCTGAATAAATAAATGCTGGAGAATAACAACCTGTTAATCGATGAACCGAATGCTTCAGAAAACGTCGCAGCTGTCTGGAACATATCTATACATATTATTCCGTTGAGAATTGCAGGAAAATGGTAAAACATGATATATCTAAGTAAAGCTTTTCTTTTATGGTTTAAACTGAGAATGGCCGGAACTTCTGGCAAAGTATCTTCAATGCCCAAGACTGTATGAGGACGCTCTTTGTTCAGTTGAAGTCAACAACCGCATGACCTCACCTTTCAAAATAAACAGCGGTGTCACACAGAGATACCCTATCTCGCCGACTATGTTTTCCTCATACTATATGACCGAGCAGATGACATGAACTTTCTCAACTGTGGTTTGTGGATAATAAGTCACTTTCACTTCTATTTTTGGCAGATGCTATTGTTCTCCTAGCGACACGTGAACAGTCATTACAAGCGGAGATTACAGATAAATGTGGACAAAACGAACATTGTGCATTTTAGGAATACAAACTATTCTCGTACAACTACAAAGTTCAACTGTGGAGCACAGGAACTAGAGTCCACCGATGCGTATAAGTACCTTGCGCTTTTGGATATACTAAAACGTGGGACAGTTTACTACTAAAGAAATTGCGAAGGCAGCCGGCGGAGCTTGTTCGGGCAAAATGTATTGAGGCAGGACTTACAATGAAGTTTCACAAGACTTTATGAAGCACTTGTACAGCCTGAATGTGGATTTTACGGACGCTTCATACTCAACAAATATTCTTGATCTCAAAGAAATAGGTTATGTGACCTACAACCAGATGTGGTTTGAAGAATTATGGAAGGATTGTAATTGACCACATGGCACTAAACTCCGAAATGAAGAACTTTCAAGCGAGACGGAATGGCAGAGAAATATATACTGTGTACTTTGTCCAGACATACGGGTGACAAAAAGTCAGATGTGACTCACTTTTAATAGACTGTCCTATGTATGACGATATTAGATATCAACAGTTCAGACATCAGTGTATTCCGATTAACTGCACAGGTCTCATCTCAATAAAAAATATTAACGATGTATGAACGCGGAACTAACCTAATAATCTGATTTAATAGAAAACTGTTATTGCGAAAATATTGAAATGTTAGCAACGGGTGTGTATTTTAACTATGGATATCATATGTATGTATGTGTATGTATTTTATGTGTATATAACTATTATTTTTGTGTTTGTTGTTTTACACCGCACTCAGCAAATTTCCAGCTATATGACGGCAGTCTGTAAATAATAGAGTCTGGACCAGACAATCCAGTGATTGATACCGGGAGCATCGACGCAATTGGGATCGATGACATGCATCAACCAAGTCAGCGAACCTGACCACCCGATCCCGTTAGTCGCCTCTCACGACAAGCATAGTCACCTTTTACGGCACGCATGGGCTGCTGAAGGGTGGGGTGGGGGGGGGGGGGGTGGGGTGGGGGGGGGGTGGGGTGGGGTGGGGTGGGGGGAGCAAATGTGGTGTGGCTGTGAAAGCATATGTTAGAGAGTATGCTTTGGGTTACGTGCACGAGGACGTGTGTGTGTGTGAACGTCTATGTTGGGGTAGTTTGGGTTGTTGTTGTTGTTTTTGTTTTTGTTGGGGTTTTTTAGGGGGGTCGGGG